CCCAGTTTAGTGACCAAACTGCAAAATGATCGATAGAATTCGGTTTGGATTAGACAACATGAGACTGCTCTCCAATGACCAATGAATGTATTAAAAACCAGCCTAACAGGAGGACTGGACAATCGCAGCCCAAATAGCTCAGTGGTCATGTCACTAACTACAACACTGAGTGATACGGGTTTGAATCACACAGGAGCCATCAGTTCCCTCAAGGTCGTACATACGCCTTGTTGACAAGTGCATGAAGTCTAGGTTCGGGGCTTCCTGGAGATTACACCAACCAACTAAAATACTGAGTATCAAACTACTATGTATTGCCCCATGGCTGTAAATAGAGCACGTCACACATTTTGAGACACTCACTGTCTTGTGGGATTGGAGTGAACAACAATGAAGCTAAAAGCAGAAGACTAACAGTGAAACTGATCCTGCTAATGAGGTCGCGAATCTATATCCGCTGATATGTCTACTAGATGACACATGATGAGTGATTTCCTGGCTTGATAGAAAGCTAAAAATTAACAAACTAAGAAATAACCATGGGGTCATCAACTGCCTTTATAGACGGCATAGGAAATTAAAAACCACTTGGTCGAGGTTTTTGGAACACTAGGAATAAGCGATAGGAAACGGCAGAGAAATAACTCAGATTCTATTATACTGACTTATACATATTGTCTACTATAAAACAATAAACGTTTTCGTCTATTCATCTTCATAACTTATCATCAAAATCTACATTTATAGAACCAAATTTATTAACAATGTAGCAATCAGGTTTGTAGAAAATTTATTTTAAAACGGATCCAAAATGATGATCAGATTGATTTCCGTTTGTAGATGATAGCATGAATTATGTATATACGCCGACTGTGGTGACTAATTGAGTGTAGATTGGTGTCAGATGACCGATGACCAATCATAGTAAATGTACACCACGCGGGAAGGAGAATTACTATTGAAGTTCAAAGTTACATTCTGTCGGGTAAGTGAAGCACAAACGAAATGTGACTAGATGTTTGGCATCAAGATCAAAAACAATTTGCTCTAAGGAACTACGAGTCTTCTAGGATATTTTAAGGGAAAACGAATATATCCTGACAAGTTTATGAAAATAGATATTGCCTACAATGTTCTAAAATACGATCTGATGAGAGTGCAGAAATCTGTTTCTGCGATTCGAATGAAATTTTGTGACGTCTAACTGGATCAATAAACAGAACATTCTACTCAGGATGTTTGGGCTTATTCTTTAGTTACATCTTATTGTTCAGTCCGGAACTTAGAGATGCCTCACCTCATTTGAGCTCATCGTCATGCATATAACAACTCAACTGTTTCTGTGAAACAAGTTGCATAGGACGCAAAATCAGGAAATTCCGTTTCAAGATATAAGAACACCTACGAGGTAGGAAAGCAAAGGATGAGGTCAAATTCGCTAGAAGTTCTAAATTAGCACATCTGGTTAACACCGGACATTACACAGATAGTGACAAAGCTTTAACTGTGATACACTGCGTTCCGAGGATTCATCACCATCATTCATCAAATCAACATAGGACCAGGCATTAATGTGTAACCTTCCAAGTTGCCACACCTCATATCAGCACATCAAGTAACAAAGCAACAAAATGGAAGATGAAAAAGGAAAGAAAAACCGCCGAAAAAGAAGCAGAAAGAAGTAAAAGAGAGGGAGGAGGAATGAGATAATGGTGACATTAATAACAGCGGTCAAGATGAGGATAATGTGTGTATACATCTGCGCCACTGACATCGGTTCTCAACCATATCACCTAGAGTATCCAACCACTGGTTTCTCTTGTTCCACAGATCCCAACCGGATAGTCTGCATCGCCCTACATAGCTCAGACCAACAGTCAAAGTCTTCATGCATTGATGTCATGTTTTATTATGGCCGCCCTGAGCCTATTTCCAGCAGCCTAAACCTACTTCGCCCAACATTGTGCGACGAGGCAGACGACGGTGGCTAGACATAAATAACACATGTCCTTACTATGCCAGTCGATGAGGGTTTACAACCGCATCAACTGGCTTACCTCTCCTGCCTAGAACTCTACGCCTGACTTCTGCGTTACTCACACGGTGGCACCATGAAACATGGCACATGCTACGAAGGCAACGGTGGTCAAACACCTGAAGCCTTCTCATGTCTTCTACATTTAATGGCCATGTTGCACAGCTATACAGTAGAGCAAAGCCGACTGCAGCACAGTGCACTTGACCCTTAATAGACAATCGGATATCACGGCGGCGCCACAGATGATGTAAGTTAGTAAAGGCCAATCAAACCTTTTGTATTTGTGTAGAGATTTTGTCGGTCACTAACTAATCCAGCATGGTGGATCCGACTTCCCAAGTAAGTTAGCCGGGGCATTGTTGAAGATCAGTCCTGGAGCGACAATTTGCATTTGGGTGGCGAGAAACGCATCTCAAACATCCCAAATTGCTACTCAATGAGTCCGGAAGACTCGAAATCCTGTCAGCGTCTTCTTCTAACAGGACTATATCATCTGTGTATTCAAGGTCAACCAAAAGTTTTCCTTTGATTAGTTCGATCCCTGTGTAGTCAGATTGCGAGAGGGAGACCTCCACGAGAACATCTATGATAAAAGTGAATGAGAATGGAGAGAGTTGGTATTCTTGACGGACATCACTCAACGTACACAGCTCACTAGACATCACACCATAGACTCTAATACGCCCATAGGTGTTTGAGTAAAGAGCCTTCAATAAGGTGATGTACATGCAAGGTACCCCCTTCACTAAGACACTACCGTAAGACTTCTCGATCAATGGAGTCAAATGCCGCCTTCAGGTCGAGAAATACAGCTAGTATCGGGCGTCGGTAGAGTGTCTGTGTTCCAGAACCCGGTGGTGTGAATATCTGGTCGATACACCCACGGTCAGGTGTGAAGCCTGTCCGGCTTTCTCGGACTTGCTGTTCCCGAACTCTACTTAGACGTTTGGTGATTACAGAACCCAGAACCTAAGACACTACGTTCGCCACGCTTATTCCTTTGTGGTTATCACAAGAGAACTTCCCGTCTTTCTTGAAGACTGAGATAATCAGTGACTGAGATCAGTCAGAGGGGATCATACTTAGCTTTCATACACCAGTTAACACTTCAGTTATTTTGACTAGAAACACTCTACCACTGTCCTTATATACCTCAGGAACTAGTTTGTCTGGTCCTGCTGTCCTTTCTCGTTTCACATTAACTACCGCTTTCTCGACTTTTACAAGTGTTTCGGGTCCTATCTCAATGTTTCATTCAGGGTCTGACTTGATAGTGGGCAACTCAATAGTAACCGGAGGCCAGTTGAAACTGTTCCTCGAAGTGTTCTTCCCATCGTTCAAGTCGTCTCCGGTGCGAGTGAATTGCAGACACATCCTTCTCCGCTATAGTCTTACTAACCACTGACTTTTTCTCTCCAGTTTCCTTAATAAGTCTAAATAATTGTCTACTGTTACGCATTGCCGCTGCCATCTCTTTAGCTTTTGCTCACCACTAGTGTTTGTGATCACTGTGTAGACGTTTTGTCAGTCTACATTTGAATTGCATTCATGTGCATCCATTAATTCAAAAGAAGCCAATGGTATCCACCGGCCCTTTTTAACCACTCATTGAGAGTCGGTTACAGTCTTCAACGTTTTCACATTGCATTGCAGATGGCACCAAGCTTCTTCTGGGTGAGTGATAGTGTTGTGTTCCGATAACTGCCAAGCCAGTTTCTCACTGAAAGCAGCCTTAGTGCTGTGATTGTTGAACTGCACTGGTAATGGTCTTGTTGCTAGTTTTTCTACTTTCTTCGACACGCAGATGAGGCCTCTAACACTTGATACCTATTTACGCCTTCGAATAACTGAAGCTGGGGCCATAAGATTAACTAAGCCTCAGCTTTTTATTCATAAAAACATCCAAGTTATACTCCCCTCCTGACTTTTAACTGACTGAATACTACTTTTATGTTAGCGTCTTTCTTAAGCTTTTGATTTTCCATTCCCTTAATTCTTGTTTTAAAATTTTCAGCTAGATTTTCCTCAATTTCTCTCACCTTATCCTAATAAACCTTTAGGATTCTGTCAGAATTTTCCACACAGTTCCTTTGTCATTCACATCGTCATTATTGTTATCGTACTATATTGATTATTTCATATTTTAACTATTTTGATGAAATACGCATTCTATTTCTATCCTTCTGGCGAGTTCATGTCACATACTGTATTAAGCACACCCGACAACACAACTCTGAACTTCAATAGTAATTCTCCTTCCCGCGTGGTGTACATTTACTATGATTGATCATCAGTCATCTGACACCAATCTACACTCAATTAGTCACCACAGTCGGCGTATATACATAATTCATGCCATCATCTACAAACGGAAATCAATCTGATCATCATTTTGGATCCGTTTTAAAATAAATTTTCTACAAACCTGATTGCTACATTGTTAATAAATTTGGTCCCGTAGAACCTGACGGAGTCACGTAAAAAATTCCTTTTGCTCATGTATGACTTTTAATATATGAAATGATAATCACTCTGTTTGAAATCATACTTAGTTTCACTTCACTCTTATTCCGGTCTTTTCCCATCACTATAGGAAATTTTATTTTTGTAAGATATGATAACTTGAATAAGTTAATTTGAGGATCACCGTTGCGTGCACCGGTCATATAACACATCCAATTACGGAAGCCGTCTTTTGATAATTATTCACCGAATAAACAAGCAGGGTAGTCAAAACATAGCTGATGTTAAGTGTACAGGTGATCAGTAGAGAACCAAATGAAAATTTTAGAAGTCATCGATCACAGTACTGTGAACTGTAATGATATCATGTCACACTGAAGCACATAAAATGTCTTGAAACAAAGACATTTGAAATCGCCTTAAAAATTCAAGTTGATATTTTTCAAGTGCTTGTCCATAATTCCATACAAGTTGCTTGTACATCAAACTAAAAACTTACATGAACCATTCGACTGAGGAGGACCGTATTGCTTCTTCTGACCACCACGAACAGGTCGTCCACTACCCTGAACAGATGTTATTGCATTTGGGGAGGTCTGGTATTCGGCTTTTTGAGCATTTGGAGGTTTCATGGCTTTTATTTCCACCTACAACATCTTAAGGATAAGGGCCAACACCTCACCTGTTTTCCATTTAAGTTTAAATAGTGTAGTCGGATAAGATTCCTAACCACCTCTTCATCGTCGAAACCAACAAATGCAAAACCTTAAGTCTATCTAGTAGTTATTCATAAGGATTACCTCTATGCCGCTGCTTAGTTTGGCCTGCCAGTAAGTTAACGTCAGTAACCTGCAAATACATGTATAGAGGAAGAAAGACAAACCCTTCCGTAACTGGAGAAGAAGTCTCTGATTATATTCTCATCATGATCAAAAGCGATGCCACCAACGAATACCTTAAGGCTACGACGATTCTAAACACCGAATAAATAGAAAATGAAAGCTTACTTTTCCCTTCATATTAACATTACATCTCTTAGGATCAACTTCTTTAAGGTCGATTAAATGAGGTTTCTGTTTTAATACCCAGTCTACAGACTCATCATTCTTAAACTTGACGTAGCCAAAACCCCTTGATCGACCTGTTCTGTTGTCCATCATTACTGTTGATTCTTCGATATCTCCAAACTTTGAAAAGTATAATTTGAGAGAGTCTATATGAATGAGTCATTAAAATAAGGGCAGTACCATTGGTTGTCGACTGATGAAGCCCTCCCACAAATAGTTTCCTAGCAAAAAACGTAAAACAGCAGTCGTAAAGATTACCCGACTTCATTGCCCTGAGAATCGATAGACATATCAGGCGAAGATGAAGAAATTCGCCGACCGCGCCACCAAGGTCACATAGGATTCGCAACCCGAACTTTTTTTCTTCTGACATCAGAAGCACTGAGTTGAATTCTTACTAACGTTCATTTTCATTGTCATCACTTATGTCTCATCACCAGTAAATGTCACAATTTCTTGAAAAAATTATAAATTCTAATGAATGTATTTTATAATCAGCAAGTTAAAATTTCTTTTGCTTCCTCGTTGATAGTGCCAGAACTTCCTCTTTAATATAAATCTTTCATTCGCACCTGATCCTCTAAGGTCATCATCGAGAAACAAGGAGGAAGACTAGTAGCGGCTAATCACTAGGTGGACATTTTTTCAGGAGTATGTGTGAAGGAGGAAAGTCGAAAATACTGTCTTCCAGTCCCGCAAGTTACACTATAAACATCCACCGTCCGTGTTACATCCATCCGAGATGAAACCGTAACTGGTGCTCTGGAAGGAGTTCCTGCCGTTTGGAGATATTTAATTTGCAGCCAACCTAAAAGCCGTCAGGCAGCACACTCAGAACCCATCAGCTGAGCAGGTTGGCGAGAAATCTACCACCTGTCGGCACTAAGTAACAGTGCGCTATTGCAGAGGAATTTATTTGGCATACACTCCAATCTGTCAGGACCTCACGGAACAGCTGCAGAGCAAGATTCCCGACTGCTTTCTCTGCGAGACACACCCAACCGGTGACAATACGGGTAATTAGGTCTCTTCTGATTATTCAGTAAAAATGCATCGATTTCGGGTCCCCTTTTTCCAAAAATTGACTGTTTCAATGACCATTTGGCAACTTAGTTGCTTGGCGAAAACCTTTGGTACTGAGATGTGCCTGAATTTCTGAGGAGACATCAGTACGCTTCCGTTTCTATATAAATCTTGCCTATGAATTCCAGCAAGTATAAACTTTGAATCCAGGACCTCCCTACGGCTAGCTCTAACCCAAAAATACTGCAAAATCTCCCCGACTGGAAGGGTGCACACCGCAAAAGTTAAACGCAGGGACTTCAGGCGTGGTATTGTGTAATTTACGGGCCCAAACCTGAAGGTTTATAAGGTGGCAAAAGAGTATGTGATATAAGCAAACTAATACGATTGTGTGTACAGATGAGATGTTACAGATATAAGGTAAACTCAATAAGGAAACAATTGGCCTGAAAGTGAAGCCAGAAAGGAATTTGGCTCATTTTTCTCGATGCAGAGTGGAATCTGAGTCACAAAACGCTGTCAGATTTTTTAATGAAGGAATGTTCAGAAACCTTGCCACTATCTTACCAATCCGCCAAAAAATCACAGAGTGCCTTCAGACTCTCAAGGTTTGTTTCAAAGTGCATATATCAAAGCATGACCAACCACCATTTCGTCCAGATCACTTACAGAGTAACAGCTACCTCCCAAGAATTCACAGTTTAGCCACAAACAAGCACGTAGGTTTTAAACACTTTTATCGACGTAATCCCACCCTCGATACTAAAATACATTGCTCTTCTGAGTGCCCCGAGCTATCTAAACATGTCTTTTAATGTTTCGTTATCAATTCTCACGTGTAGTTCGAATACTGACTGGACTGATGCACACCCACATCAACTCATGTAAGACTGATCAAGTATAGGGTAAAAACGATACGCTACGCTTCTTCCAGCTGGCTAGTGGTCTCACTTTAATCCGAATTATTTGAAGCTAACAAAGGATCAAGTTCTTATCTGAGATTGGTGGAGCTGCTACGTGACTTTCTACGCTGTTAACCTAGATTAGATTTTATACTTATTGTTTGAGGGTACAAGGCTATGAGCCTGAATTATTCCTTTTCAGCAGATCTCTGTTGGTGACTAGTCCTCATTCGAACGAGGCGGTTTCTGGGAGTCGGTCCGAGTACTTAATTACCCGATGTAGGAACCAGCACGCCTCGAATACTACGTTCTCCCCTCGTTTCTGAATTCTCCAGCCATGTCCCCTGAGGTATCCCTGCCTAGCTGGAAGGAAAAAAGATAAATCAGGTCCAAAGTCATTTCTTAGAGTCCTGTATATCATGATTGGATCTCCCATCTGTCAGCGATGAAGTAACATGCCTTAATAGGTCAGTCTAGCAGTCCCAGGGACCATGAGAGCGGCTGTCCTCTGAACTCTTTCCAGAAAGTAGAGTCGCCTTCCTAACAAGGGGTTGCCACCTATGTAAAGTTTCCTGGTTTGAACCTAAGTAAGGATATGTTTAGGCTGGTTAACATATTACCACTTATTTTTGTAAATTCCTGCGTAACGCCCAGTGTCCTAAAACTTCGAGCTGCTATCCGTCGACAGTGTGCCATGGATTGCAAATCATAACTCACTATGACTCCTAGGTCATATGTATGCTCCATGTGCGTGCTCATACATTTATAGGCGTTGACAGGCATCGGCCATCTCCTTGACCAGGTAAACAAGCTGTTTAGGTCTGTCTGAAGTGCACACATATCCTCGTCATTCCCAATTTTCCACCACAAATTTACATCAGCGTGGAGAACCATAGAGGATTTCGTGATATTTGGCAGCTCATTTACCTATAGGAGAAATGGCGGCGGATCCGATACTGTACCTTGCGACACTCCACTCACCACCGAATTCCGGCAGGAAAGTTGAGGGTCGGTCCTTACTTTGTCTCCTACCAATGAGGAACTCTCCCATCCATCCATGTAGATATCCAGTGGTTCCAGAGCCTTCTGGTTTCCCGAGCAACCTGAAATGCGGCTCATTGTCGGACGTTTCACTGAAGTCTATGAAAACGACATCTGCAGGTATCCTATCATCCTTAGACTCTTACTGCGAAAAGGTTGGTCAAGCAAGAAAAATTTCTGCAAAAGCCGTGTTGCGAAAGAGACAACAGAGCATTGCTCTCTAAATGAACTGTGATGGCTTTCTTGATTACCTTTTCTAAGATTTTTACCACGGTACTAGTCAAACTTATCATCCCTTAATTCGATGGGTGCTCCATAGAACCTGCCTTGTCGATGGGTGTAGCTATGGCATCCTTCCAATCATAGTGGGGTGTGCATTCACTGACAGACAGTCTAAATATAGTTGTCAATCGACTGGTTACACAAATTGCAGGCAGTTTGGGCAGCTTGTTGGGCTACATCAGTCTTCCAATTTCCAGCGCACATATGTCGTAAGATTATCATTACAGTTTGAGTCCACGGAGTCTATTTTGTGGAACTTTCCACAAAACGTTCCTGTGTAAAGAACCCAGCAAAATATGAGGCCATAGCTTTTTGACTTTCCTTACTGTCTTCAACCAAACAGTTGGTTTCGGTCTCTGATTGGGGCAGGTATACCATGATACGTCTTATTCATACAGTCCATATGATAAAATAGCCTCTTCCGGTGTTACAGAGCGGCCTAGGCAAGACATGCCTCAAAGCATATTCGAGGCCGCGGCTTGGCAGAAATGCATTCATTTCGGGCTTCTTTTTAGTGCCTCCTCACCTCTTGGGCACTGGCGTGGGTGGCCAGACTCCGAAACATTTTTCCTGCGTTATAGAAATATCCGTCTTCCCCGCCTCCCCACAAATGACAACGTTTCCGCCGCTTAACAGTAGCCCATGGAATGAAGGAGCACCATACAGACTCATTTGAGGCTTCTGGATTGCCTGTCCAGTCCTTCAAAGAGGCCGTTAAGCTAATAGCTTCCATATTCGCTTCCTATACATTGGGTCTAGCTGGGACATCGGCCTGGTACAAGACGGCTGTTGTGAATCAATAGATGATCGCAGCATGATCGCCCTCACCAAGGGTCGCATGGTGCTGGATGAATCATATGTCACGTGTGTACAAGAATGCCAAGTCTAGAACTGATAGAGCGTGCCGATGACCGTATCTGGTTGTTTCCGTAATGTACCGCTTAAGGGCAGAGGCAACTGGCGTTTCCACTAACCTGTGATCAAACGAGTTAAGTGATACCTCTGTTGTTAGTCTATCCAAGCCAAATGACGGGGTGTTGAAGTCGTTGTAAAGGAAAACTGGACTGACAATCTCTCCTGATCACCCTATTTGATAGTAGTTTCATTTATTTGAGTGTTTTTACCCTCGTTATGGATGGTGTACCTTTGACTCTAGCCGGTGTAATGTTATCTGGTTGTTTCACTGTCTTCCGCATTTGTATGACTGTGACATCATGAGAGTTTTACTTTCCTATTATGTGGCGCTGGTTTGTTGACAAGGCGATGTTGTTTTACTGCGCGCGACATTTTGTTTTGGTTCAACTTACGGTTGTGCTGTGATTTGACTGTTTGTCTTTTGGCTGTCTACTGGTAGACAGAGTTTTGATCCCCTTTTGTCGGGAATATTCTTATTGACTCTCAGGTGCCTAACAATTGTGTTTGTTTGACCAGTTTTTACCGTGTAGTACATATTTGCACCTGAGAACGTTTGGACTGTATAGTTACCCAACGGCACTGTTGAGGTATTTTTGTAATTTTGACATAACTTATTGTTGCTTGATAGCACCACGGATTTTGTTACGAGTCTACTATTGAATTACTACAAACCGTGTTTGATATATTGATCCAACCTTTGACTGTGCGTCACTCGCGGAAGTTTGGAAGCTATACCGTAGAACGCAGGAACTAGTCAGATTCATGTCAGTTGGCACCGCCTAGTTACTTCCCGCTTTCAGGCCATGATTATTGAATTCTGGCCGCTACACATGTTATTTGTACAGCAGTGTTTGAATGGTAATGTTCTCAGTGAAGTTGATAAAATTTAAAAGTAATAATCTTCGCACAATATGTAGGCTTCCGGAGTATTCAAATGTTTGAACACTGGTAGTCACAGATTTTAGGTGAAACCTTCTCCCTAC